TTGGCGGCAGGCAAAAATAGGATGGGTTTCCAAATTATATAAAGAGCTCATACGGGAAAGGAAAAACAAAGGGGGGAAGAAACTCAACCACGGCATCATGGTGGGTACTCTGAAGGTTGAGGGTAACAAACTTAACAATATAACAAAGTATTTATTACACAGTGTAACAATTAACAATTAAAAAATAAGATAGATACATAGGAGTGCTAAAATCCAAACTAGAGAAATTGCACGTCAACTGAACATGAATCACAGAATATCTCATAAAAAGCCACTCGACAAGACGCATTTCAGCTCTGTGAGCCTTCTTCAGTGGCCTAAAACCAAACAGCACACATTTAAAACAAATTGTAAAAAATAAGGGCTTACAGATTTGTAGTATTTCAGTAAGAGGGTAGGCTCCATGTGAAAACATTAGCACACACAGAGATGATGGGTTCTTGGCCAGAGACACTGGAGAGAGACACCACCCTCTTTGTGGGTTAGCTCAGAATTATATACAGGCCTGAATTTCATTGGAGCCTCCAAAACCCGACAAATGGACATGAGGGTGGACTGCAAATTTTGGGAAGATTTCAAAACCAGGACAGAAACGGGGTGTGGGGGGGAGGTAAGTAGACTTCACTGGGAGCCAAGGTTCCCTGTTATGATTTAGTTATGTGATTTCAGATTCTTAATTTTTAAAAAATTTATTTCCAAAATGTGTACCCTGGCTTTCTGTCCTAGCAAAGGGACACTGAAGCGGCTAACAATTTAAAACACGGGATAAAAGGACCCGTTCAAAAAATTCCAATCACTGGGCTCCCAAGCGCACCTCATTAAAGCAATTAAAAAAAACCAGAGTTGCAATGCATACAAAATATCCAACCGGGCAAATAGAACATTAGTTGGAAAGGAGGGATCGTTGACGGGATGCCAAACAAGACAGAAAAGTCTTCACCCGCTGATGGAAGATGGCAACAAAAGGGGACAGATGAATTTCCTTTGGGACAGAGATGGCCATCAGAGACAGAAAAAGATGCATGAGATTGCACTGGGGGTGGAATGGGGGTGTTTGTGTTACACTTTGTACCTTTTTTTTGCATTTATGGCAACCCCTGTAGGGTTCCCAAGACACCAAAGGCACCAGACCTTCAGCAGGGGGTTGCCATGGCCTGGCTCCGAGTAGATACCCTGGACTTCCTTGGTGGTCTCCCATCCAAATACTGACCAAGGCCGACCCTAGTTAGCTTCCCAGAACTAACGAGCCAGATAGGGGCTAGTCTGAACCAATGCTCCCTCTAAGCTGTGGAGTCTTGTGAGCAGAAATTCTACTTTGTGAGCTCCTGGCATTAAAGTTGTGAGCGAGCGATTTGGCGACTGCATAAATTAGTTCGCTCTGGAGCCATCCTTCCTGAGCTGAGACAAAAAGGTGTGAGCCGGAGGCTAAAAAACTGTGAGCTAGCTCACACTAACTCAGCTTAGAGGGACAGATGAATTTCCTTTGGGACAGAGATGGCCATCAGAGAGAGAGAAAGATGCATGAGATTGCACTGGGGGTGGAATGGGGGTGTTTGTGTTACACTTTGTACCTTTTTTTTGCATTTATGGCAACCCCTGTAGGGTTCCCAAGACACCAAAGGCACCAGACCTTCAGCAGGGGGTTGCCATGGCCTGGCTCCGAGTAGATACCCTGGACTTCCTTGGTGTTCTCCCATCCAAATACTGACCAAGGCCGACCCTAGTTAGCTTCCCAGAACTAACGAGCCAGATAGGGGCTAGTCTGAACCAATGCTCCCTCTAAGCTGTGGAGTCTTGTGAGCAGAAATTCTACTTTGTGAGCTCCTGGCATTAAAGTTGTGAGCGAGCGATTTGGCGACTGCATAAATTAGTTCGCCCTGGAGCCATCCTTCCTGAGCTGAGACAAAAATGTGTGAGCCGGAGGCTAAAAAACGGTGAGCTAGCTCACACTAAGCTGAGTTAGTGTGGGCTACTGGTCTGAACTATGCAGGTCAGGACAATCTGTGCCTAAACCCAGAGAAATCAGTCTCTTCTGCCTCCACCAGCAGCACCGATTCTGCAATACCTTGGATTCTACCGTTGCTATGGCATTCCCCCCGCCTCCCCCCGGGGCCAACACGGCTCCCTGCAATGTCTGGAGCTTTTTGAAAAGCAGCAGCAGCCGCAACAAAAAAGGGTAATCCGAATCGCGCCTTCCCTTCCAAATCTGCTCCCTCTTCTCTGCCCTCCCCCTCCCCAGCCCGGGGTCTCTTCAGCGCGCGTGGAACAATCTCGCACCACCGTAAACTCCCGACGTTCTTCCCGGCGCCAGAGCGTCCCTCCCCGGGGCTCTCGACGCACGTGACGCCTTGTTTACCCGACCAGACGTGCGCACCGAATCCGATCCGGGGTCTGCAGGGTCCGGGTGGGGAAATACCTGGAGACTTTGGGGGTGGAGCCTGGAGAGGGCGGGGCGGGACTTCGGCGGGGGACAGTGCCTGGAGTCCGCCCTCTAAAGGTTTTCTCCAGGGGAACTGATCGCTGTCGCCTGGAGATCGCTTGCAATAGCGGGGGATCTCCCAGCCCCGCCTGGAGGTTATGCAAAAATATATAGTAAAGGTAAAGGTTCCCTTGCTCGAAAGCCAGTCGAATCCGACTCTAGGGTTGCGGTGCTCATCTCCGTTTCAAAGCCGAAGAGCCAGCGCTGTCCGAAGACGTTTCCGTGGTCATGTGGCCGGCATGACTAAACACCAAGGCACACGGAACGCTGTTCCCTTCCCACCTAAGCGGTACCTATTTATCTACTTGCAATTTCTTGCTTTCGAACTGCTAGGTTGGCAGGAGCTGGAACTAGAGACGGGAGCTCACCCCATCTTGCGGCACCCGGGTCTCGCACTGCTGAACTACCGACCTTCCACAGCCTGCAGTTCAGCGTCTTAACCACTTGAGCCACCGCAGCTCCACGTAAAAATATATAGCACTGTGTATAATCCACCTTGAACAATTGTCTATAATACATAGTGCTATACATTGTTGCATCTCTTCTTAGTTTTTGTACTTCCCACCTGGAGGCTGGCCGCCTGAAGCGGTGCCGCAAGCCTGCCTCCCCCTCTCTAGTTGGCCAATCGAGGAAATTTGAGGTGTCCTGCTGCAGCAGCAGGGCTTTCAAGAGCGACTCCCTATTTCAGACGGGGGGGGGATTAATACGCTCCTTCTCCCCCCGGACGCTTCAGGATGCAATCTTGGCAAGTCCACCGACGGCATTCCCAGCGCGCGTCCCAGGACGGAGAGGGGAGAGAATGCAGCTCTGTCCTTCCGTGGGTCAGCGGGAGGGAGGGAGGGAGGGAGGGAGGGAGGGAGGGGCGTTCTCCGCTCAGCCCCCCCCCCCCGGCCCCCCCCCCCCTGCTCGGGGGGGCCCGC